GCTTGGGCTATCTGGTGACATCAATCTTCGAACTGCACTCAGATTCAACTTCTAAATTCACCTAAACTGACTCTTCACTCTGCATTAAAACTTGCGTATCCTTATATTCTATCACTCCTCTACTCGGTATGTATCCGGGTCGCATTCGTGCCCATAAACAGTGCCCGAACCCAACCCGACACTTATGTCGGGTTGGGTCGGGTCGGGTCAAACTTGAATATATGCTGCCCAGACCCGAACCCGTCTTGGGACTTTCTGGGTTCGGGTCGGCAGTTTGCATGTCGGGTTCGGGCCGACCCAAGTATTTTAGCCTTTGTAGAGCAATTATGACAAAAAATTACCTGCCCGACTATCAAAACACCTGCCCGAACCCGACCCGCTAAGCTTCCGGGTCGGGTTCGGGTCATGTGATTTTGTCACAAAGTCTGCCCAAACCCGACCCATGACCCGTCGGGTCTCGGGTCGGCTTTGGGTCGACCCGACCCATTTACACCCTGACTCTCTACCTTCTCTCCACCATATCCCTTCTCACCCAATCTCATTGACAGCAAATTCATCAAATCTCAACCTCAAACTACACAGTCAACATGCTTCTTGCACCAACACTCTTCTTAGACTTCCTCACTTGGTTTCTGCCAATTTGGTGAGAAAACAAAACTGATTCTCTTTTTACAAATTCATTTGATTGTGCTAAACTTTTATATTTCTTTATGATTGTGTCAGTGTCTAATATTTCTCACTCTTTGATCTTATACACTTCAGTATCCTTGTTCTGTCTAACTCTAGAGTCTAAATCAAATTTACATTTTGGCATGTTTTCTTTTGTTTTCTTTTGTTCTTTTCAATTCTTAAAATCATCTTTTAATGTTATTTATTTTCTAACTTCTTGTCTTGCTTAGTTCTGGTTCTAGTAAAAATTATAATTCCTGTTTTCATCAATTTTCAGGTACTAGCTCTAGTAGATAGTTGACCAGTCTTGGCCAGTCAACTTATCTTCTGAGTTAGGTCATTTCTGGCAATTCTGGTCTAAATATTCCCAGGATAGATTTCAAACCCACTTAATCTGAACAAATCAAAAAAATTATAACACGTTGCTTGAAATTGAGACCTTAAAAATGGCTCTCAAGTTGAATAGTGCCCCCCCCCTTTTTTTAGTTCTGCATCCACACAGAGAATTTAGCTTGAATTAAAATAAGAAAAACAAGGGGGAAATGGCTGAAAATTTCAATATGGGTTAGATGAATTCAGATCATCATAAACCCACACCCAGTGAAGAGAAGTGCATGGTTTAATAGCTATCAACACTGGGAAGTTACTTTTTCAGTTATCTCACTGCTTCTGTTTTTAACTCGAGACTAGGCACCCAATAATTTAATCTATGAGCTAAATAGCATAAACTGGGATTAGGCCTTGAGATTGGTAAAAAAATAATGATTTTTGTCCACTCAAATTTTTTTAATCCAAGATACCGTGGCCAAATTTAGTTACAGATAACTGGTGGCTTTGATAACTTTTTTTGTCTTTTTTAAATTATCATGGTCACATTGTACGCATTATTGCCAGAATTATTTTTAAATATGTAAGAAGAGAGCCTGTTTGTTCATATCTACCAGACAAAAAAATTTATTGGCTTCACATTCAAAAGTTGTATCAAGTTAAAAATCCAAAAAAAAAGTAACTGATATGTAACTTCCCAGTGTTGTAGCTATGGTTATGATCATTCTGGTCTTATATCCAAAACTAAGAATTTCCCAAATAAAAAAAATTAAATCTAAAACTATGAAACTGAATTACCATAAGCTTTATGGACAGGATTTATAGAAAAAGTAGCCAAGAATAAGTGAAAAAGAAGCAAAGTGACATTGACATCCTCATGGACAGTCTTTATGATTGACTAGCAGGGATTTTTTGGAGCCAGAGTCAAATGAGATGAAGAGATGTGAAGTAAGGAATAGACAGTTTCTAGGTGGTTTCTGCAATTAGGAAAGCTCAACAAAATCATGGGTTAGAATCATTTAGGATCAATATTGGATCAATTTATAGAGGAGAATTCATAATAATCCAAGTAAATTCTTACACAATCAGTCTGTTCTGGGAAACTTCTGAGTGAAGAAATCCTCATCCCATTCTCAAGGGTGCTGCTTTGATGCCTTAGTGATGACTTGTTCAGCCTTTTCAAGTTGTGCCAATTGTGTGTGGTTATCCTGGATGATTTGATTCCATGTGTCTGTGTCTACTTTTGCGTACCGATTCTGAGTGACTATAATGTAGTTTCCAAGGTGTCTTAGAAAGTCATCCTTTGGTCTTGTAAACATTATTGAATATTCATCCTCATCCCCCCAAAGCAGCCTTTTATCATATCTAGCCAAAGGTAAATTATTACCAATCTTGATTGGGCTTCCTGTGATCACTCTGATGTCTCTGCGCAGTAAACCCTCACTAGGGGATTGCTTGATTTCTCCTACAAAAATAAATGGAACATCTTGATCTTCTTGTGTGAATTTGTGATTGATACTGCAGATCCAATACTTGTTTTCATTGTGGGTAACCTCAAGCAGGACTGCATTGACCCACACCATAACCAGGGCATTGATGAGCAAGAGTTGAAAGATTGATTGCATCTTCTGTTATCTGTCTGCTTGATTGTTCAAGGATTTCTTTCTCCCTTTCACCCTTTTGTTGATGTACTGTGGGAAAGAATAGGTGGATGAGGCTGGCAAGGTATGTCTGACTTGGCTTGGGCAGTCTATGTGGGGAGGTCAAATCACAATCATCAGTATTTATTATTATCTTCTATAAATGGCACAGATTGTATGAGGTCCATGTGTCTGTGTCTACTTTTGCGTACCGATTCTGAGTGACTATAATGTAGTTTCCAAGGTGTCTTAGAAAATCATCCTTTGGTCTTGTAAACATTATTGAATATTCATCCTCATCCCCCCAAAGCAGCCTTTTATAATATCTAGCCAAAGGTAAATTATTACCAATCTTGATTGGGCTTTCTGTGATCACTCTGATGTCTCTGCGCAGTAAACCCTCACTAGGGGATTGCTTGATTTCTCCTACAAAAATAAATGGAACATCTTGATCTTCTTGTGTGAATTTGTGATTGATACTGCAGATCCAATACTTGTTTTCATTGTGGGTAACCTCAAGCAGGACTGCATTGACCCACACCATAACCAGGGCATTGATGAGCAAGAGTTGAAAGATTGATTGCATCTTCTGTTATCTGTCTGCTTGATTGTTCAAGGATTTCTTTCTCCCTTTCACCCTTTTGTTGATGTACTGTGGGAAAGAATAGGTGGATGAGGCTGGCAAGGTATGTCTGACTTGGCTTGGGCAGTCTATGTGGGGAGGTCAAATCACAATCATCAGTATTTATTATTATCTTCTATAAATGGCACAGATTGTATGAGGAAATTATGCAGAGAGATCAAAGATGGAAGCTACCTTGTGTTTTGGATTTGGGAAAGAATTAAAGACTGATTTGTAGGAAGAATTATTGTAGGAGAGGCAATTGGGAGAGAAGCCCTGTTTATATGGGTACTACGTGGGCTCCGGCTGTGTAGTGGTTCACTCAGGTCAAGAGAGATTTTGTTGGGACGTGTTTTTTTGAGCGGCAGATCACTACAGGTACATGTGTTGACATCAGAATCAGGAATTGGAGCAGGTCTGAGTGAGCAGGCCAGTACAAGCATTGTGCAGTATGAAGTATTTGTAAGAAGTAGTCGACAATAGGGGGTATCAAATATAACCAAATCCACCATTATTTAATTGACTGGTTTGAAAAAATGCCCCCTTTTTTAAACATGTTGGTTCTTCATTTAACCCCTTTTGGGGCCCATTGACGCAAAAAAAAGTTTTGAGAAAAGTGACTGGTTTCTAATGGTGGATTTCCCATATTTGATACACCCTAATGCAGTGTCAGATGACAATCCTCATCCTTTTCTCGGTCAAACTCCGGGCCGCATCACAGTGAAGCGTTGATGCGACTGGACAGACACCATGATAGCAGATTGCAGCACTTGGAAGAAGGCCCAGGTGGTACACATACACATGATCAAGGTCCGATCATCATCTGTCTCCCTTTCTCGGCGGCGTGACTTGAGCTAAGGTGTGGATTTGGGTCAATTTCACTGGCAGGATGCAGCTTATTTTAAAACCCTCATCCCAAGAACGTGTCGCGTTCAATTGTTGATGTCGACAGCTTCGTAGGAATAGGGGATGTGGCTCTTGAGAATACGTGTTTAAGTACATTACTGCAGACATCAAACAATGTTTCCATGCTTTTTCTACAGCCGCGAGGCTTCATAGCAACAAGATCCCATAATAAGCATGAATGACTCGAGTATGAATATAAACTCAATGAGAGCAGACAGTACCAACATATGTTCAAAGAAACTTAGGCCTAAAGAGCAAGCAAGAGGACAATTATTATTAACAAATGTAGAAAGCAACAGGGTGGAACGATCTGTGTGTAGATGATTGGAAGCAAAAAGCTTTTGTGATCTTGGATCAAGTTTCTTCCGGATCCTAAAATCAAATTCCGAATGACCGTTGGACAAATGAAGAAATGTACGAAAAGGGCCAAAAATTGCAACAAAACAAATCAAGATGCATGATGTTGCGGGGATCACAGGCAGTCTTGACCCAGCCAAGACACCAGTTTTAACTGCCAGAGTTGACTTGGACGAGAAAGAGTGAAGCGGGGAAGAAGTGAGGGTACTCAGTCGGAACCTGCCACGCAAGAAAATCACATGGGTTGGAGCCATTTGAAGTATGTAGATGACAAAATCGAACGAAATAGTGAAGGTAACAGGAGGACTGAGTCTGAGGTGAAGAGATGTCAAAAATTGCTTGTACGGAGACATCTTCCCAAACCAGTCTCTACATTGAAGTTTCATCCACCTTTCAAACGACTTCTTGCTCCTATTAGTTTAAATGATGATTGGCTTCTTGGACTTTCACTAGATTATGTGTACTCTTCTCCCGAGCGACAGCGATTCGTAATTCATTGTGGTTCGCCTTCAAAATCTCCGTCCACGTTTCTGGTTCTACTTTCGCGAGATCACCGGGCAAATTCAGAGTTACTAGTATGAAGTACCCAAGGTCTTCCTGGAGAGCTCTAGCTGTGGATTCGAATCTGATTTTTGCTTGCTCAAATTGACCATAGCCCCATTTAGGATGGTCGGCATTAGGAAGACCGTTGCCAATCCAAATGGGCTTTATTGTGGTACCTTCCATCATCCTAAATCGCGACTCTTTGGGACCCTTGCCGTGAACGTTGTCTCCAACGAAACGAAAAGGAACTTCAGAGGGTTTAACGTCAGCTGGTAATTCATGATCGACACTGCACAGCCAGTATTTCTTATCGTTGTGCGTGACCTCAAGCAGGACTGCGCTAACACAAGCCGTAGCAAATAGAGCGCCTATGAGGATGGGCTGAATAATCGACCACATCTTGTTATAATTCTTCGCTCGATCGTTGAAGGAAAACGCTCTTTTGTTGAGATGGGAAAATCAGTCGGCGGATCTGGCTGGCTGGCAATGTCGGCTTGACCTGATTTGAACTGCCACTGCGGGAAGGTAAACTAAAATCACAGTCATCAGCAATCATAATTATCTCTACAAACGGCACAGACAGTCAAATTATCTCGAGCTCCTCACTAGAAATAAAATTAATGGATTATGTGAGGGAAAATGTCATGGACTAGAAGAAAGTCAAAGTTACCTTGGCGTGGTAAAAAGGAAGGAGAAATAATTATTTGTGGAAGTAGGCGATTGAGCAGGCTAATCCTTTGTTCATCAAGAGGTCTTAATTTATGCGCTCGTTCATCAGCGAGGTTCTTGGTCGGGACAAGTTACGTCGAGCCTTTGATTTAACTCTATAGGTACATCTATGTCAGCGCTGGCGGTATGAAGCACATGTGTGAGAGCCAGTCGTCCCAGACTCTGAGTATTAGCCGTCCCTTACCATGAAACTGCCATCGAATGATGCGGTCCCAGCTATCGAGCGCAATGATGCACGATTGATCAGAGAATTTGACTCAAGCCTTTATCCGGATTTGTTACAGTGAAGCGCCGACACGAGTTCAACAGAAAACATCCTCCTTATCCACAGACTATGTTCCTTGGACATGCGGGAGGCCGGAGAGGACACCCATATTGAACTTCCCACCTGTTGACCGACCGCAAGTACGTTGGGAGGTCCGTCTTCCTTTAGGTCAGGGCCGCGTAAGAGCCTTGGCAGCCTTGACCAGACAAACGATCAGGAGTCGACTCGACACTCTGGAATTTGACTTCAACTAAAACCATACAACATTAACGGTCGATATCTTTACGCTACTGTGTCGCCGCATCAAGCTAACGCCAATGAATCTCCCTCTAGAACCGCTCTATGGAGGCCAACTAGTTGACGATACGCAGTCGATGAGGAGTAAAGCACTCGGGTGACGGCCACAGCACATGAACGGCGGAAGCACCCGTAGTGTGAAGTGTTTCCCAGTGCTTGAGCCTGTGGCCGTCGACAAGGTTCCTGATAAGCATCCTTCTCGTTATCCTAGTCATGTGATTCTGACTGCGGGGGGCAATCTCATGTGACAAAACATTAATGCGACAGTAAGGGGTTGTATGATTTAAAATTTTGCAGGTTTACTTATGAGCGTTGTATTGGATTTTACAAGTGCAGACTCGTTCAGTGCATTCTGAAACCAATTGAAGGGGAAAAGCCCAGCATAGGGTCAATTTTATCATTAAGGAACATAGAATTCAGCCTGTTGGAGCTTTTTGAGGTTCAAGCTTGAAAGAAAAATTGTTTGGACCCAGATTTAACAAGCAACAACAAGAAATTTTGAACTATGTATGATGAGATAAATAAAAACTTGTACGTAATCGATCATCAGGGTCACCATGATGAATTGGACTATTGCGTCGGCTCAGGAGCCTGTTCCGATTCACTGAGGCGTTTAAATGGTTGGCTATGAGGAGTATCGACCCGGGCATCTTGTAGCTTGCCCTGGTTAATGACGGCGTTCTTTAGATTCTCGTGATTCTCCTTCAAAATTGCCTCCCACGTTGGTAAGTTGATTTCGGCTCCCTCCTCCAAAGTTACTATAACATAGTGGCCAAGATGTTCTTGAAGAATTCGATCTGTGCGTCCGAAACTGCGCTCCCTTTCCTGGTCTGGATCTAACTGATAATCAGCTGAATGGGCAGGAAAACCACTCCCAATCCAAATGGGGTTTGTTGAGGTATTTTTGATAGTTCTGACTCGTGCATTATCATGAGGTTCCCCATCGACCTCGCCAAGGAGGCAAAACGGATTATCATCAACGTCCCTTGGGAATTCATGATCAACACTGCAGAGATAATAGTCGTGATTATTGTGCGTGACCTCAAGCAGGACTGCATTGACCCAAGTCGTAGCAACTATTGTGCTTATAAGCAAGGTTTGGAAAATTGTGTTCATGTTGTTTGTTTTTGCGCTTGATTTTTTGATAGAAATCCCCCTTTCAATTGATTTGAAAACGTGAGGAAAGTGGTCGGTGAGGTATTATAACCGTGACAGTTGGATATAACGGCGGGGAGGTGAAGGCCACAGTTGGTCAAAATCTTGATAATTATTCTCTACACCCGGCGCAGAAGTTTCATTAGCCAGAGTCAACAATAACTAAATTTTCAAACAGGTGGTTTGAATAGCAAAAAAAATTGAAACCTATGCGAAGATTGAAGTGTTACGGTTTGAGGAAAGAAAGAAGGGATAGCGTTTAGATTTATTGAGAGATGCAGGAAGGAAGGATGCGATGGAGCAGGAGATCTTGTAGGGCCATTGACGGTGGCTCTTTTTATGTGGTAGTTCATCCAGCAGGGTTTTGGCCAGGACGTGTTCCGTCGAGCGCGTGACCTGACTCTAACGGCTTGCTACCCTCAGTCTCAGGTTGAGGAAGTGGAACCCTACAAGTCTAGAAAAATACCATGTATTATTCGTAAGCGCAAGCTTTCGACCCAGTGTTGGAGAATCATAACGATTCTTTCGGCAGCGGCGAAACTGCCGCCGAGTAAGGCTTGTATTCCGGCCATCTTGGAGCGTGAGACAAGGTTGATCAGAGACGGTTTGACTGAGGAAGTCATGTCCCAGTGAAGCGCTGATGTAAATCAGGTATTTTATAGACACCACAACATTAACGCCTGATCCAACGATTGGATAAAGAACTGGGTCACACAAGGCTAGCTCATGAGTACCGGCAATAAGATTTAGTGTTTCGACGACACAGGTGGCTGTCGGACAAGTGCCTGCTGATTATCATTTTCCTGCTCTTCTCGCCGGCGAGACTTCTTTGACCGAGGTCTGCGACCGGACCGGCTGCAGAGCACAAAAGCCTCTTGCATCACCGGAATTCATCGGCAAGACTTTCATCAATTCAAGTCTGCTTCGAAACCTAGAAGCTCATGTGGTGAAGAAATGGGAGGAAAGCGTACGTCGGGAATGTTCGTTTGTTTGATTTCATTAATATTCACTGCGCAAAAACTTCCACCAAAGAATCGGGACCTTCACCTCATGAAGCTGCGTTTGTCCCCCATCCTCTAGTTTCTGCCCATTTCCAACTGTTCAGATCATCTCTCATCTTTCAATTCTTTTTGTACTGTGTCTGTTTAGACTGCTTGTTGGACACGCTGTCCAGGTCATCTGAGCAACCAAGTTAACAAGGTGTGCACAGTGCACTGGATGGATGACCAAATTGTCTTGCTTTCCATCTCAATTGTGACGGGTCAGTCGGGTTTTTTTAGAGGTTCTTTGAACAATTATGTGTTTCACCGTTTCTAATACCGGACCATCTTTGCAATTTTTGACTGCTTACTGGGAAAAAGATGTTCAGCAAACACATAAGTTCACTAATAAATAATGGTCAAGGGCTCGACTTGACTGGGAAGAATTGAATACTACGTTTTACCAGATAAAATACATCGCTGTACAGGCGCAGATATCATCACTGAATTAACAGTAGCGATCGATAACCTGACTCAATCTCCTTCAACGAGCTATAGGAGGCACATTATCGACCGACTTTGGTTTTGGGTGAGCAACATGACTTCATGTTTTTGTTTGGCGAGTTTAGGGGGTCTCAATCCGACGATTTTCCGAGGTTGAGCTGGATTGATTTGCAGCGGAAGAGGTATCTTAAGGGATGGAACTACTTGGCGGGGAGAAAAGTTGCGGGTATTTGGCGTGACGACGTGCCAGAATTTGCTTCCTTTTGAGCTCGAAGTACTCCCTGGCCAGATCGTCGGTGAGGAGATTTAAGTCTTGCTCCAGCACTTTCTGGTCGGCTAGAAATAGGCTAATTTCTGCACAGTCATTCATGATGTCGGCATAACTCCTTTCGGTCGATTTCGGATTTTCTTTTTGAACACTTGGCGGGGCTGTTGATTGTTCTTCCTTCTTCTTGTCCTCTGCAAGCTTCTCCTGGCGCGATTTCGGTTGTTTGAGGGCACTGCAGTGCTCTTCGACACGTTTGCGTTTGGTCATGTTGGTGGTCTGGGTGGGACGAAGGTCAGCTTTAGTTGTATCATTTGAGGTAGACGCATTTCGTTCTCGAGCTCCTTGATCTGTCCCGTCCAAAGATCGCTGAGAGACGGGGGCCTTTTCCAGAAGAACATCATCGCTGGCCTTTGCAGGCAGCTCGAATTCGATGGCGCGTTGGTCCATCCACTCCGGATGCAAGCGGAGAACGTTCCATGCGGATTCGAATTCGAAAGCACGGTAGTTGAGAGCCAAGTAAGCATCCTTTGCTGCTCTGATTAGATCGATCTCAGATCTTCCCGATGGGGCATTGCGCTTGGCCTGATTATAGTACACGGAAAAATTTCGCGTGTGCTGTTGGATTTCTAGCCATCTAGGAAATAGAGAGAGAAGAAAAAATGAGCTCGCGTAAGAAATCAAGCTGCGATTCTTTTCTCTCAATGGGGATATTGATGTGCATACCTGGTGTGGAGGATTGCCTCTTCCCTAGGAGATGAGCTGGTGTGTTCGTTGAACTTGGCCGTAACAGCCGCCCAAAGACCGTGCTTTTTTGGCTGCCCCTGAAATGATTTGGAAGCTTCCAGCCAGCCATGAGCCAGTTGCTCGTCTTCTTGAGCAGTGAAACCGGATGTTTGGGCTTTCGAGTTGGTGGTCGACATTTTGCAGAAACCTGGTTCAAAAAAGGACATCCAGATTCCACCCCCCGTATTACATGCCCCCGCTCGGGACCCGGAGTCCCCGATCAGAACTTGGTGAGCTCATCTCTTGGAAGTTGGGGTGGATGCTCCTGGTCGACGGAGTTGCCATCTCGCTTAATGCCAGTCAAATCGGATGACTCGAACAAGCCACAAGGGATACATATTTCCTCATCTGTCTATAACCACTACGGTCCAGCAAAAGTGTACATATCCCCAAGAGATCACGCCAACCAGAATCTTATATACTAGAGGAGCTGCAAGTCTATTCCAGCTGATAATATAATAACAGAGGCTGGAATCGAGAATATATTGTCATCTGCAATACTAGGAAGCTCTCAGCGATTCATTGGGACGAGTTATAGTGATGGGTCGTCCCCGACGCAACCAACATTCAACCAGGGTGTATCCCGAGTACTCTCATGAGCCAACAAGCTCGTTGGATCGTCTGAATCCTAGTCATGACGATCATGATAATCCAAGAGAGGATGATGACGAGGATAGTAGCAGTGTGCTATCGACCTTCCCACCTCACCACCAATCGCCTCTACTTGGCAGTCCAACGGGAGGCTTCTTTCGGCGCTCGGAGCCATCGAACAGCAGCAGCTACCGGACCATGCGAGGCCGAACGCGAGGCCTCAAAGCGAAAGTCACCTGCCGATGGGTCAGGATGCCCGCCTTGATCTTGCTCTGTCTCGGCGCCATCATCGCCTTCGTCTTCGTCCCCTGGCACCAATCGCGCTCTGGCCTCGATCTCAATCAGCTCAGAGTCAGGGAAAACCATCTCGACGGCTTCGCGATCCATAACATTTCTGCCCCCGATGGCTCGATCTATGGGAGCTTTGTCGGCCTAGGCGCCTCCGTCCAGAGTTTATTTGTCAAGGATCGTCATGGGTGAACTCTTGTTCCTTTATCATCTGATGTTCTCGCATTGGACTACGTTCAATATCTTAATGCGAAATAATAGGTGGTGGAATACCACAAACTCATGCTCCATGTTTTCCTTCAAATGTCTTTCCATCTTTCGATTAGATCCTTTCGAGACATAGTTCTAGGCTACGATAACACCTCAGAGTATCTCCATCATCCGGTCAATCCAAGGTTCGGCTCAGTCGTTGGACGATATGCGAACCGCATCAAAAACAGTTGAGCTACTGTAGGTCTTCAGCTAGAAAAAATGATCTGACTAGACTTCTGTTTTCCTTTTCGATTCAGGCTCGTTTGTCATCCCTGGACATCCTGATCAGATTTTTCGGACCACGCCAAACGAGCATGGAGGTAAGGATTTTTCTTGTTCTTCTTTTCTGCGGGGTTTTCTAATCACTGGATATCAAAATGATATCTTTTTGATGACAGGTTTGAATACTTTGCATGGAGGAGATCCCGGCTGGGATAGAAGGTTAGCCTTCCACGCCCTTCGACATGTGTGAACGCCGCTCATATCCTCTAGTCCGCTGAACCAGGCCTTTCCAAGTCGAAGCCAAAAATCTGAGTTACATCTCCTTTTCATTGGTCGATCATGATGGCGAGCAGGGATTCCCAAGTGAGGTTGTGTCCAAAGTTAGTGCTCTCCCATTTACTTACAAAGAATTGAAGAAATCAAGCTCACAATGTCCTGCTCAACATCCAACCTTTCGCAGATCGAGTATCAATTGCTTTCTGGCGGGAAATGGAAAGCCAAGATGACAGCACAGGCAAATGGACTAACTCCAATAATGCTTTCCTCGCACGTGTATTGGTGTGTTTGTTTTTCGCTTCATGATGGTTTTTTTTTACTAGACGGTGTTAACATTGTTTGACCGCGAGGAATCGCAGGAATTTGGATGCCTATGCAGCCGACGAATCGGCTTCCAAGCATATCCTCCAGCTGAACGCGCCCCAATACATCGCCACCGACCCGATCCTGATCCCGACTGGGAAGCTGGAATCCGTCAAGAACACTCCGCTGGATTTCATCCAGCCGGCTGAGATCGGCTCGCGCTTCAAAGAGACTGCCGGTCTTTGCGGCCAGGACTGCATCGGATACGTGAGTTCTTCCAGCACTCTCTTGCTATTGACACTCTTGCCCCAGCGAGTGATGTCGATCTATTGGCCAAGCTAGGACAATGCTTTGGTGTATGATGTCAATCGACCCATCGACGTTCCAGTGATGGCAATGTGGAGTCAACAGTCAGGTATCAAGTCAGTCAGCAGCATTCTTGCGCTCTGAGCATGTTTTATGTAGAGCTTCGCACTAAGAATGTGACCTATCTTTGGGCGTCTTTGGTTCTTCTAGGATGTCAGTGATTACCGATCAAATAGGTGTTCAAGTTTACACCTGTAACGCTATCGTCCCTAAGAAAAAGAACATCCCACCGGTCCCTCGGAAAAAATCTCAGAATGGGCCGGATGCGGTTTATGAGAATCATTCCTGTGTTGCAATCGAACAACGTAAGTCCCAAGATAGGTTTTTTTTTGCTTCATTTCAAAGCGTTTTCTTTCCTTCATTCCAGCTTATGGTAATCTTGGAATGACAAAGCCCTTGTACCTTCACTGAACATGAATGTATTCTTACTTTTTCACTTGGTGTGTACTTAGAGGGGTTAATCGATGCCATCAATCATCCAGAGTGGAAGATCAACAGCATTTATGGACCTGATCGACCCTATGAATGGAACACCATTTACGAATTCTCGACTATTTGAATCCGCATTTTTCTTTTATTCCTTCCTAGCTCAAGCATTTTTTTAATGCGCGAACCCATCATCATTCGAATATATGACGATCGTCTGGGTTGTTGTAGTCAATTGAAGTCAGCTCGACTGGCTACTCTTGATACTAAGATAACAAAAAAAAAAATGAGTGTTCCCTTTTTTTGTTTGTATAGATCAGTTCAACCTTCTATAGCTCCGATGCTCGTTTGAATCTGTTGTATTTTGTGCAGCTTGAATCCTTTGGTCGTTATTCTTCCCTGCAAGACGCTCTTACTGAACCTTCTCATCTTTTTTCATCTTTTTTTTTTTTTTGCTCAACCTTATTTATATATACAACTCAAAATTGCAAAACCAGTAATATTTATTTGCTAAAAATACACATAACATATAACGTTCTCCAAGAGCATCAAGCACTGATTGCATTCATAATCAGGATGTTCGTCGCTCACCTTCAGAATTTCACATCTCCATGAGTTGATTCCTTGACTACAAGAGGTTCAAAAAAATAAGCTAGGTGTAATGGCATGTAGGTGTCATAGTAGTTGAACTTTGGTATTACTTCGCATTACTTATGTATTTATGTATTAAATCATAAAGTCCAAGTGGAGAATTAGTAAATTAAAGTAGTAGCAAACTAAAACGGAAACAGACTCAAATGTCTTCGATTGTCAGTTTTTCTCGGGTAACATATTTAGTTGGCCATAATATATGATCTGGGCCCTTGTGGTCAAATTCGGGTAAGCTATTACGAGTCCCTTAAATTAATTGTTTATTTTAATTTCCCAGCCTAAGTCAGAGTATGCATCTCTAAAATGAGGGGGATTCTTGGATAAATATTTACATGGTTGTAAAATTTGTAAAGGCTGATAGAGAGGAAGAAAAGTGACAAGATCCAACTGGTTCAAGTGTCTTTTTTCGTGGTTGTTCCCGACAATGCATTTTGGGCATTGACTCGAGCGGGAGCAGAGCCGACCAAGACCACGGAGGTTTCAGAGCCAGGGCCTGAGAGTCTTGATAACAGCTTCCTAGTAACCTCGATATCGTCATCTACGGCCCCAGTTTTGGCTGTGGTGCCCAGCTTGCCCTTTTCGGGCTTGGTTGAAGCGTCTAGTTTCCGTCTGTCTTCATTAGACGATCCATCGGCTAAACTTATCTGATCGACGCGGTTTGTCTTTTTCTCTTCCTTGTCCTTCTCCTTGTCGTCCCTTGTAAGCGTGATGTCGAGAGCGTCGATGGTAGACGTGTTCTGGCCGCCCTCTGACCCAGCCTTCTTTTCTTTCTTTTCCTTTTTCTTATTATCGTCCGTCGTTGGCGTGATGGTGAGAGGGTCTAGGGTAGACGGCGTCTGGCCGGCCTCAGACGTCACTAGCTTTTTGTCGGCTTGTCGGGCGCCGGTGGATCCGCCTGATAGTTCAATCAATTTCAAGTTTGCTGTTGTGCATCATCATTTCGAGTGGATTATATGTTAGTGTACAATTGCAGATGGATGGAATTCTGAAGCTTGCATTGAGGAACTAGGCGCAATACTAACCGGGCACCACTTTTTCACGACCTTTCACGACCAAATCAATGTTCTTTTTGACCGAAGCTGCATTGCTAGGATCACCTGCAATACCCTTAAAACCAGCACTACATTTTATGTTTTTTTTTTTAACAAAAGGCATACATTGTCAGTTTTAACAGGCACGGGGGAATTCAATAGAACATCTAGATCAACACTTGAGAGCAAACTGCAAGCTTGATCTGTTCTTCTCGACAGGTATAATAATCTTCCTATACTTACATGACTTCACTTGGCCCATGCTCTTTAACGGCCGCCAAAGCTTCTACAGCTGCTTTAGCATCACTGGCCGCACTCACTAAAACTTCCCGGGCAAAATCCTCGTCGGCTTCCTATTGAGGGGGCAAAGAAGTACAAGATGAGTGGGCGTGGCCGTCTTGAGAAAAGGATTTTCGAAGAAGCTGAGTCGACGGGTATTCTTACCTGAACCAATGCTTCCTTCGCAGCAGCTTCGATTTCTTGGGGGGAACTGCCCTTCTTCTGGATGACTGCTACTGCTTCATCTACTTTCTTGGTTTGAGCTGCTAAGTTCTTGCGCGCTTCCTCGACTACCTTCTTTTGATCGCCGTCCAATTTCCCCCCAACTGCAAGCTGACTGGGACTGATTTGCGATTTCAACACTAACCTCCGATCTCCGCCCTTAATTCCTCCTATTAAGTCGTTGTTGGCCGCCACTACTTGAAGTCTGTTTACGCATTTGAATATCGGTTGGAATAAGATATATTCGAGATTAGTGTGTTTCACGCATTTTCTTCTGTTTTTTTCAAGTGGTTTAATGTTCAGTGAATTTCCAGTATGCCAAGAACTTACCTTGCTAATACTATCTTTTTTAACGATTCTAGCACTTTATCCTTATCTTTAGCGTTTTTCTCTATTTCTTTGAATTCGGAACTAGGGAAATTCAATTAGTTTTTCATTTTTCAAGGAGCAATGTTCAAAGGTTTCTTTATCTTTTTTTCTTAAAAAAAAGGCAAAAATTTCGATTGAAACTTACACAACTGTAGGACCTTGATCTCTGATGATTGCTAGCGCACTCTGAGCTTCACCGGCTTTTAGAGCCCCACTAGCCAGCTTTTGTTTTACAATAGCAAGCGAGTGTGATATGTTTATTGTCAGAATATTTGTAGCTGCGCCACAACTTGATGAAAGAAAGGAATGAAACTTACCGTTTCTCTGAGGAAATCTTCGTCAGCTTCGTTCTTGAGGGCTACTTGAGCTGCCTTACGGATGTCGTCCTCGGATGATTGAGGGTTCTGTTTAATAGGTTGTTTCACATTTTTTTCGTTAGGGATCAGTTTTATGCACGCATTTAATATCCAGCGTGTGATAAGAAAATCCAAAAAAGTTATACAAATAATAATGCACCTGAATGACCATTATAACGTTGTCCACATTGTTGGTTGCCAAAGTAAGCGCCTTGGCAGCCTCTTGGACGCTAATTTCACCACTTGAGTTTTTGGAATTCACTTTTTGATCATTTGTGGCCAGTGTTTCGGCTTTGGTTTCCTTGTCTAAATCAACAACAGACCGTTTGAATGCTTTAATATTCTCCGATAAAAAGTGTGGGTTGGATGAAATGATAAGACACAGCCTATTACATACCTTGCTTTAGGTCTTTATTTTTCTGCGGCAGGGGACTTCGACGGTGCCGGAAATGAACTCTGACATCCCTCGAAAAGCTTTCATTTTTTTTTTGCGAAGGTCGCATGTTAGACATGCATCCCTAAAGAATAGCTAGAGATTAAAATAGATTTGAGGATGAATTCTTCACTGACATTAACACATCATTAGATCTCGTCTGTAACTTTGAAGTAATCAGGGGTTTGCATGAAATCTGGCCCAATAGCTGGAAAGCTGAAAGCGCGTAAAATATCGTTTGCTTCATGTCGAGTTTAGTAATTAGATAATAGAACCGATAAGCTATTGAGCTTCGTTCCTTGTTTGTTTTGCTTCCGTACTCGTGATATATTGTATGTGAATAGATATATCTGAGGCCAGCCCAAATTCAAAGGAACACTTCCGCAGATTGAGAGATGTGAATATACTAGCGTAGGACCGGTCCTGTTGAGATAATGGTATACCTTATAAAGCCATCCTCGTTATGACTCTGGTCAGCTCAGAGGAAAATAAGTTTTAATATGTCAAGACTCACGTTTAGGAAATTCACATTATCCCCATGTCTTTTGATGAGCTGAACCGAAACACACAGTGTTCCCACAAGAGCCTAATGTCATGATATGTGCCGTCGTCTTGGGGAGAAAAATGAAACTTCGTGTCGCCTGAAGGCATCGACTGTACTGAGTTCAATTGAAGAGGAATTTAGAAAACAGTGCGTCGACAACACCAGATTGCCTGCCTACAAAGACCGGAAAAATAAACAACGATTATAACAACACATGTCTCGAGAAGTAAGCACTGAACGGTCCAATAGAGTTGTCCCAGTCCAAAGCTCTGATCAGTTATTGTGTTGTAGCGCAGACTTGATTTTATCACCAAGCAACCAGGAGTTGAAAATCACTTTGAAAAACGACCGTGTGCATAGTATCCGAAAATGAAAGGTCCGGACCTCTCTCGACTCTTGTTCCCCTTTGCCATATTCTGATCAGCCACCAACTGATTCCCCGAACAAAGCCTCAAAAATTTGGAACGTAATTAGGTATCCCTGGTAGATGATTGGCAGTTCGGGTTGTCTAGATATATGCCTTGTAGTATTTGATGTTGATGACTTGCAGTCTAACCCAACAGACAAGATTTCTCAACCGCCAATTGAGCTTTGCGTTGGATGGAAATAAAGCACAGTGACCACTGACCTGGACACATGCACAGTCATCCTTCAGCCGTGGCAAGGGTGGACCACAACACTAACATTGATTCTAGATTTGATTCCAAAAGTTTCCATAAGAAGGAAATTTAATAGCCTAGCATGTAAGTTTGCAACACCCATTTTTTGTCAACTTTTCTGATGGAATAAAAAAAGTTGTTTGCCATTTCCAGTTGGTGTGGTGGCCCACTAATGGCTGTGGAGATGAAGAACTACAGCACCCCTGTTTGTTATGACCCACCCAAAAATTGGTGGGGATGGTATGGTAACATCACTGTCATGATTAAAATGTGAGGGTGGCACAGCACAAAAATATGGTGGATGAGATATGAAAAAGGGTATCAGTTAAACCCCCATCATTCGCTGGAATGACCACAAGAAAGCTGTGCCAGCTTGCCAAAAAGGGCTCTTTGATATTTTTTTTGCACATGGCATAACAACGAATAAAGGCAATTGTAGCTATGCACCAACTAAGCCGCAAATAATTGGTGTCAGATCTCAATTTCTCTGTACCAGTAAATTTTTCTCTTTGATTTGTTTTCTGAGTTTTTGGTTCTTTTAGTATTTGTTTCCCATCAGTGTGTGCTTTCAACGATTTGGGTGGAAGAGTACTGTTCAAAAGAAAAATCCTGGCTAATTTTCAATTCAGAAGGAAAAACCTCCAACTGAAAGTGATAATTCTGGGCACAAATGTTGGAAATGGGCTACCAGGAATGAATCCAAAAACAGAAAATGAAAATATCAAGTCAACACTTTTATTCAAAAGTGGTGTTTATCAATTAGTAATAGGGGGTATCAAATATAACCAAATCCACCATTATTTAATTGACTGGTTTGAAAAAATCCACCCTTTTTTAAACATGTTGGTTCTTCATTTAACCCACTGCAAATGTGATTATATCAGATTCCCACATCTGGCATAACTTCAGATGAAAAAATCTGATTATACATCAGGCAAAACTGGTATTATATCTATCAGGAGTGATATTGTATCTACCTAAAACCATGTTATATCTATCATAACAGATATTGCATCAGCCCAACCTACTCAATTTCAACATAACTGATTTTATGTCAGATTTTTACATCTGATACAAATTTTTAGCCCATGGGCATTAAATCAGATAGAAAACTCTGGTATGATGTCAGCCTACGTGATGCCAAGATATAAAATCTTCTAGCTACACGTGGTGCAAAAGCAAGTAAAAACTTAAAGGTTTTTGGGTTTAATCTTGAAGGAATAAATTCCAATAAAAAGAAAGGAATTTATGGGAGTTTTTTAGGAAAAAGTGGCCAATTTATATTAATAAAATTAATATAAATTAAACCTGAGGGGCCTGATAAATCAGGGGTGGTTAGATCCCTCAAAGGTATCGTGCAAAGAGCAGAGGATTTAGGTACCTGGTACACTGGGGCCTGTAAACAGGGGTGGTTTAAATCCCAGTAAGAAATAATAGGGAAAATCTCAAGAAAAGGGTTATTACTCACTAGTAATAATCCTGTAGGGTCTTGAGGATCTTCAGAGTAGAAACTGGGCAGTTGGAAGTGCTCAAAAGGGTGGAATTTGGGTGCTGGGTGATCACAGGGGAGTTTCTTGAGGGTTCTTGAGGCTTAATAACAGCAATTTATAGTAGTAACTAGGCTAATTACAAGTGTAGGGGACTTGTAAATGGTAAGTAAATTTCTATAAGGTATTGTAAAGCTGGGGGATCATTATTTGGGCGGTCAGAAGGCCCTTTAAATACCTGTGGCAGACCTCAGGGGTTGCTCAGGGGAGCTTAGTAGGACTTGGGAGCACTTTGTGGCCCATTTTAGCCCACATGGTGACGCAACAAGGGCTGAAACCTTGGGGATAATATTCTAGAAGTTCCCAGGGGTCATGCACGAATTTATTTGAACTAAGAATATCCTTCAGGAACCTGTGGATAATTGCTATTCTGTTACGTGGAGTTATTTCCTTGGAAATGGGCCACAGAATATCCAAGAGGTGGTTTCTGGGGCTTGCTACACGTGTTACCACTTGGAATATAGAATGTTCTAGGTTACTGTAGTATTTTCATGCATATTCTAGTTTGTTTATATTTTTATTACACGTGTGGGGGCTTTGTTGTCACATGTAATGAGGATTCTGGGGCGCTTGTGGCCCATTCCTTGGATACTGGTAACCCAGAGGGGGTTATGCATGTATCCAAGGCGGGTGGGCTTACCTATCACGCGCGGGGGCTTGAGCCATGGGCTCAATTGTAGTCAGGCGCGCCTGTCAACCGTGCGCAGCATGACTACGCGGCGCGCGGGCTTGGAGACAGTACACGCCACGCAGCTCTATCTTCCAAACTATACACAACACTCCAAATCTGAGACAAGATTTGGAGTATATGCATATTGTTATGTATAATGCATAATTATTCAGGTGCCCGTGATCTATGGGTACCTGTTAATTCTTTAAGTGGGTATTACAGGATGAAGGAGTTACAATTAGGGGTACCTTTGGCTGAGTTACCCTAGGTCAAATTGTACGTAGATTCAGAATCTGTAATAATAATTAAAGTTTTCTCTAATCTTTCTCTGTTATTTATATATTTTTAAGTTTTTTTATGTTATTTACATAAGTAAATTAGTTTCTTTTACTTATGTAATATTTTACTTTATTCTTAGATTTTTTATGTGTTTTTTATTTTATTTTGCTATGACAGGTTGTCTCTGCCATAGTAGCAAGCTGACATTCCCTACACCTAAGATGAGTTTACTCATAAAGAAAAAGGCTGGAAATGAATAAGGATGGAAAAAAAAATCCTTTTAAGCCTCTATTCAAGATCAACGGTGGGCCAGTTACGCTAACCGTAGTGTTAGTGCAGCGTAGTGTTAGCTTTTTAAGCTACGCTACACAAAAGTTACTGTTAGCGAAAAAAATTGGCCCACTAACACTACAGGATTTCTGAAAAAACAAAAAAAAACTTTAGCGTAGTGTTAGCTGACTAAAAAAAACAACAACTAACACTAACCAAATCCATTGTTAGTGGAATTTTAGCGTGGTTAGTGGGCTAAAAAGTTACACTAACTGTTAGTGTAACTTTTTGATAAGTTGCACCAACTGTTAGTGTAGTGATCCCCTCAGTTACACTAACTGTTAGCATAACTGATCAAAAAGTTACACTAACTGTTAGCATAACTGATTACTGAGTTACACTAACAGTTAGTGTAACTGATTACGCTCCTCCAATTGAAAAAAGTAGGTGGTATCACTAGGGGTGAGAGTTTGTTTGAGAATCTGGTTTCGAAGCTCCTGTTTTTTTTGGCTTGGCACCGTTTCTTTGCTGCTTTCATACTGGCATTATTATTATTATCAAGAGATAAATTAGTCCCCAGGGTTTGAATCACCCCAAGATCCATTTATTCCATCATTTAGTTGTAAAAGTTTGAGGTCAAATACTTTATTGCAGCTTATAATCAAATGCTAATAGTAGTATATAACTGAGAAAAACAAGAGAGAAGAATAAAGAATAAAGGTAGAAAGATGAGCAAAGCAAGAACCAAATGAAATGAATGACTGAACTTAATGAGAATAAAGAGAGAAATCATTAAGTACCTTTTTATGTTCTTGTTCTAGCTACGACTCAAATATAGACACGAGAAATCTTTTAGGAGATAAAAGTTGATAACAAACAAGCCTGAAGAAGCAATAAAAGATCAATCAACTGAATAAGAGGAACAAAGAAATAAGAAGAGAGAAAAGTGAAAAATCTGAGAAAGAATGGGAATCGGCTATACCTCCACTTGAGTTATAACCGTGCTCCTCCTGAATTTCTTTGGTCCGGGTGAGTGGTGAGGCGAAACAAGAATCGTACAGTTTGGGATCGATCGGCAGTGAATTGAGGGAGCAAAAAGGGTTGACAGAGTGCGACGATGGTGGTTCCGAATGCGATGAAGATTTTCAACTTTGAAGCGCAACAGTTGAAGTTCTAGTTGTCTCATGTTATTGCATATGGGTATGCAGTATCACACACCCCCTCGATACACCACAGCAGGTCAGGATCAGTTACTGACATTAGTAGCCAGCTGCAGGAAAGGGAAACAGGAAGAGTAAGAAGAAGCAAAAAATTAGATCAGCAACCTGCAAAAGCTTAGCACAAATTTGAAATCATACCGCTTTTTTGGCCCGTCCTGTTTGTAATCCACAGTCAATGGTCAAAAAATGTGTGTGGGGGTACCTAAATCAAAGAGGGGGGAGGTTAGCAAGCATCAGAGCCAGGGTAGCAGTATTTTAGTTTGTTCCCTTTTGGGGAAGCGATTGATTTTTGCTGGTTGACTTTGAGTAGAGATAACTTTTGCAAAAAAGGTTCGATTTCCTTACTTTTTGGTTCGTTGGAAAGCTGGCATCAAGGGCTACAACTTTGTCAGCCATTGTGTTGACTAAAAGCAAGCGGTTGCTGAGATCGAATTGATTGAAGTTAGTCCAATGCAATCCAATGAGAGACCTAAGTTTCAGAAGAGGGAGTAAGCTGAAGAGACTTTTGGATTGGAGGATATAATGGAGGTGGTTGTGATGAGTATTTAATTGAGATGAAGATCAGATTGAGCTTTGATGAAGTTGATGATGAGGATGAGGATGAAAAATCTTGATGGGGTCTTGCTTGGATCGGAAGAGATTGGAGGTCCAACATCCATCTCCCCTTGCTTGAACTTCAAGTTCAAACTCAGAGCCCAGGGAGTTAACATGTCACAGGCATGTCCATGACATCCTCTTGCTGACTGAACCTCAACTCACCGGCCCATTCCTCATGTACTGCTAGTCACACTACGGACAATTAGGTGTCGCTGCGGCCCGCAGCGTCACCCGGACGTTTCAAGTCAAACTGGAATCCTCACGCTACGTCAGCAGCAGCGACAACTCCATCTATGAAACGACAGATCAGAAACGAACCACAACCCAGTCCAAAGAAGCCTCTCAAAAACCAGCCTCCGCGACCCAGACGGTGGACCTTAATGTGAGCAATCTCACCCAAACGGTCAACCCTAATGTGAGCAATCTCACCCAGATGGTCGACCCTAATCTGACGACAACGACTGGCCAGAACAATACCTCGGGCCTGCTTCATAAGGCTTCTTCTACAATCGGATCCGGCGATCTCGACAGCCATCCAGGTAACCAGATCCAGTTCACAGGCCTCTTCAAATGGGGTATCGTCCAACTTGAACTTTCCAAAAACGAAGGAAGATTGACTGGGATCAATGGATATCAAGTCGCTTGGGACCGGTGCAGCTCGACCGTAAGTGTAACCCTGATCGATGATGCCTTTTTTTTCTCCCCTTACTTACCATCCATCAAGAGCATCCAAAATATTCACATATTTTTCTCTCTTTATTCTGTTGTGTGTGTGTGTGTGTTTAGCCATACGCGTTCTCAAAAGCTCGGAACATTGTGATCACCTATGATGATATGATTTTGATTGGCATCGAGGCCTCGAATGCGTTGGCCGTCGGGATCGGCGGGGTTGGGTTCTGGGACATGACCAGCAATCATCACTCCATGCTCATCGACTGCGCTCACAAAAATCTCGCCAAGTTCGATTGTCGTTTGCATGGTTTCAATTATTTTTTTTGTCTTTTCTACAGTTGTAAGATCAGATTATTTTCTCTGATTAACTTTTTACCATTGTTCATGTCTCCCTGATTTGCTTTTTAGTTGAATTTGAAAGAAGCTAGTAGCTGTGTATTTAGAAGCACCCCAATATAGATTGCCATTTTCGTATTTTTCTTTATCTATTATCATCAACCCATCTACTGTTCACATACTTCCACCTTGCTTGTTTTTGGTTTGTAGATTGTTGGGTTCGCATCTTCTGGTGCTGTTGAGTTTCATCTTTGTTTGTTAGCACCATCATTGTCACTAATTTATTCACATCTTTCTGGCAAATCAAAGATTGAAGATACATGATCATGGGATTTTGTGTTGAGCTTTAATTGGGTGATCGAAGACACAACAACAGCAAAAAAACATTAAGAAATGCATTTTCATTAGCAAGTTTTCTGCTATAAATTGGAAATCCACATCCAGCACATAACCCAGCTTCAATTGGCCTGGATTGGATGAAGTTTTTTCATTTTATTTTCTTATTGGGGGGATTGATTGATTCCCTACACATGTTTTGAGACAAGTTGGCTGAGTTGAATCTAAACTTTACCCAAGCTGATTTGTAGCTTGATGGAAAAGTCACTTTGTCGGATCCCGAATACTTCGATGTAGTCATTGCAGCCTTTGTGGAATACTTAATCTTTCTGGGCTTGATCGGTATATTGTGTTACTACCTCACAGGGTATCTGCGAAACAAGCACCAACTCAACCGCTATCCGGGGCCCTTCCTGGCCAAGTTTTCGAGGCTTTGGCTCGGCTATGCTACCCGCTTCGGCAGTCGCTATCAGATCATTCATCAGCTCCATCAAAAATGCGGTTGCCCATCAAGCTGCTGCTTCTGAAATCTTGATGGTGTTTGCTTGCAGGTTGGAACATTTCACTTCATTTCAATTGTGTGTCAATAAGTTTTTTTTTCAGTTTTTTTTTCCTAATGCAATAGCTGACATGTATTCAAGTAGATGAAAGAAGAACAAGAACACAAACAACAACACTCGAACATGAAAAGAAGGAGAAGCATAAAAGACAGAAACAAATTGGAAGGGGGGATAGAGGGAGAGATAGAGACCAACGAAGTAGTCAGTAGTCAACTGCTCTTTTCCAGACCAAAGGCCGACTGAGGATCGGGACGTCAGGAGAAGAGTGAGTATGTCCCGAATCCGGAGTGAGAAGGAGGGGGGGACGGCTAGGAGGACGGGGAGAGAGAGTTGAGCAAATCCATGGAGAAGATATCGTTAGAGGGCGGGCTGTTAGCGGAGAATCTGGGGGCGGAGGGCGAGTAGTCGATAGAGATGGCGGAGGAAGGGTTGAGGGTGGAGCTGGAGGAGGGAGAGCTGGCGGAGGGTCTTCGGTTGGCCAGGCACGGGAACTTGGATCGAACTTCGAAGGCTCTGGCGATGATCATACAGTGCTTGCTGTTGCTGCGAGGGGGCAAGTGTCGTTGCAGATCCAACTTTGATTTGGTCGCGCGACATCTGTGTCTGGTGGGAAACGTCAGGTGACGCTGCGGGCCTCAGCGACAGCTATTTGTCCGTAGTGTCATGTGGACAAGGAGGATGTCTGGAGATGCTACTAACCTGTCATGTCAAGTGTTCAATTCCACCTCAAGGCATGCATTTGTGTTATTTTCTCACTTGAAATTTTTCATTTGTCCACCATTGTGTAGTGTAGCTTAAAATATAGTGTAGGGTAGTGTGGGACCAGTTACGCTAAATGTTAGCGTCAACTCAGTTACGCTATCTGTTATTCAAAATTTTGTTAGTGAAAAAAAGTTACACTACCTGTTAGTTTAGCGGTGATTATTTGAAGCTAACACTACAGAAAATTTGAAAGAGAAATTTCACGCTACGCTGGCAGTTAGCTCAGCGGTGTTTAGCGTGCGCTAACACTACAGATTTTCTAGAGAAAAAAAAGGCCGCTACACTAACAGTTAGTGGTCAAATAGCGTAGTGTAGCGTAGCGGCCCACTGTTGTCAAGATGTTCTTTTGGAGGCTCTATAATTTCTCAAATGTATGGCTCCATCTGGGATATTATTCTCAGGTAGCCATTCATCTTTGTCTGCTGACTGGTTCTTATACCTTATCAAATAAAGTCTAGTGTCTTTCCCTTGTACCCTTTCTTTCTTATCCTTGAGTATCTTATGGACTTTAAGTTTCTCAGTAGGTGGAGTTTCTAATACAGGTACTGGTTCTGGGACTACAGGAGTATCTGCCGTCCTTTGAGTGTAGGGTTTAACAAGACTTACTGGAAAAACAGGGTGTTTCCTAGATAGTTCTTCACTCAATATGACTTCTACAGCATTCTTCCCGTGTAACTGTTTAATGGTGAAAGGACCAACAAATGAAGGTTTGAGTTTCTTGTTACCACCAAGGTTATTAAAATTGACTGTGGACCGAAGGACTTTATCTCCAATCTTGAATTCAGGCTCTTTATGGCTCTTATCCCATCTATTCTTGTTATACTCTACAGCATCTTCAACACATTTCTTGGCGTGTAAATTTGTGGAATCTAACATTTTCTTGAAATCTAGTGCTGTAGGGTGTACATGAGGTAATTTGTCATTGATGGTATCTTTGGGCATGCGTGGGATCCATCCTCTCTCAAGTATATATGGGGCTTCTTTAGTAGAGGAATGTATACTACTATTATAAGCTATTTCCAAGGCAGGTAGTAAGCTTACCCAATCATGCGTATATCCATCATGATTTTTGAATTCAAATCCAAATGAACAGAATCTTCTGAGCATGTCTTCTAGGGTTTGTATCATTCTCTCAGCTAAGCCATCAGTCTGGGGGTGATAAGCTGTGGAGAAAGCTAATTTTGTTCCTAACATATCATGTAAGTTTCTCCAGAATTCAGACGTGAATTTGGGGTCTCTGTCACTGATGATTATTTTGGGAATGCCCATGTCAGCCATTAGTCTGTTCCAGAATAACATAGCTACTTCCATGGCAGTATCATCTTTATGATTAGGAATAAATTTTGCTCTCTTGGAAAATCTATCAACTATAACTAGTACTGAGTTGTAGGAGTAAGATCCTCCTGGAGGTAATCCAGTAACAAAATCCATGTTGATGATTTCCCATTTATCCGTAGGTTCAGCAATTTTCTGAAGCAGTCCAAATCTCTTGCCTGTCTGTTTGTTAGCTTTTTGACAGGTGTCACATGATTTGATGTATTCATGAACTTGTGTTTTCCAATCCATCCACCATGCAGTCTGTTTGACTCTTTCTACTGTTCTTTCTTCTGAAAAATGACCACAATTTACATTATCATGACATTCTTGAAGAATATTTTTTATTTGTCCCTCATCACATAAGACAAGTACACTTGAGTGTTTGTGTCTGTAGTACAACAATCCATCAAATAGTGTGAATTTGCCTAATTTATAATGTTTGGACAGCACAGGTGTTAAACTAGCTGCTAGTTCTGGGGGACTACTGTCATTTCTCAATATTTCTACTAATTTTAGTAATTCACTGTTTTGGTCATAACTTCTCTGAACTAGTTCATAAAAAGCATTCTCCATGTCACATACGTGAATTCCCAAAATAGGAAATATGTCTTCATCCTCAGGGTCATATGCTGGGTTATCAGGGGTATTAGGGAGTGCCCATCTGCTTAATCCATCAGCATTCATGTGTTTCTTACCCGCTTTATGGATTATGGTCATGTGCCCTCTATACTGCTGAATAGCAATTTGCCATCTTAACATGTGTCTGTTGGGAGTTTTCATATTCATTAGAGTTTTAACTGCGGTACAATCAGTGATAACTACAAAGTTAGAACCTTCTAAGTAGTAATGTAATTTGTCCAGAGCCCATACTAAAGCTAAGCATTCCATTTGGCTGGCTCCATATTTCCTCTCAGATTCCTTAATTTGTCTTGATATGAAGAGAACTGGTTTTTCCATGGGCTTGTCTTCTACAATAAATTCATGATGAAGAGCAGCTCCAAGCCCATCTAAACAAGCGTCAATATACAGTATAAATGGTTTGTCATAATCTGGTTGGGCTAGGACTGGTGCAGAAGTGAGTAATCTTTTTAATTCTTCATAATTTTTAACTCTTTCCCAGGTCATCTCATAAATGGTGTCATCTTTACACAGTGCGTATAAATTCTTACTTACTATGGCAAATTGAGGGATATGTTGCCTGTAGTAACTACAAAAGCCTAAGAATGACATCATTTCTTTCAAGTTATGAGGAAGAGCTTTGTTCATTACGGCAGCTACTTTGTTTTGATCTACAGCTAAGGTTAGGCCAGATACTATCCTACCCAGAGCTTTAAGTTCTCCGTAGCCAAAGTTGCACTTTTTAATGGACATCTTTAAGCCAGTTTTGATGGCGGTACTAAGCACTAGGTTAATTTTCTCCAAGTGGGTTTCCCAATCATTTGAATATATAATAATATCATCTATGTAAACCATCATCCAATCTTGTCTGATGAAAGCACCAAAAATTGAGTCCATCATTCTTTGAAAATGGGAGGGGGCATTTTTAATCCCAAAGGGCATTCTCAAATATTCATATATTGCCAAATGACAAATTATTCTCAAAAATTGTCTGCTATCTGGGTCAATGGGTATCTGATGGAAACCTTTAAGAACATCCATAGTAGTGATGTATTTAGCTTTGGATAAATTATGTAAGGAGTGATCAATACGTGGAATGGGGTAATAATCAGGTCTAGTGTAATTATTCAGAGCTCTGAAATCTCCAACCATTCTTGACTTCTCATTATGCCAAGCAATAATTACTGGGGTAGTGATTTCTACTTGTTCATTGTGTCCTACTTTCCTCAGCACACCTAATTCCATTAGCTCTTTAATGTGAGTTTCTAAAGCTTCTCTTGATTTAGGACTGGAAGGATAAGGGGGTCTTCACAAGATGGGAGGATAAGGTTCTTTAACAGTCAATTCCAACTTCATGTCATGCCCTTTTATGTTACCAATAGGTTCTTCAGTAGTACAAAAGGATTCTTTATTCATGAAGCAAGTTTTAAGCACATCTAATTTCTGCTGCTCATCTAGAATATCACTAACAGCTGCTTGAGACAGATATTCAGCTTTGAAGGACATCATTTCTTCCGTAACTTCATCTGGTATATCAGGGAGTTTGATATTCACATTGCAAATTTGAAATTTCCTTTTCCAATCTCCTCCAATAGTGTAGAACCTGTTCTTACTTTGAAATATGTCAATTCCATACATGCAAAAAGTATCATTTCCTAGAATTAAATAGTCACAAATTGCATCTTGAAGGACTACAAATTCTATGGACAATCTTAAAGATCCTTTGGAGTGCGGGAAAATTAAAGGCATTACTACAATTCCTAAGGGTTTCATTGAGGAATTAAAACTACTAAATTTTGCTTTGGGGACTGGCAGCAAATTATTTTTCCATTCTGGATGTATTTCATCTAAGAAATTGCCACTGGTGCACGAGCAAAAGGCTCCAATATCTAATAAAGCTTTTACTGATTTATCTTCAAATAAAACAGAAGTGTAACTAGTTTTTCCCATAGTGTGACTCATTCCTTTTTCTGGTTTATTAGTGAGCAATTTAGCATCAGAAACATGACCAATTTTCATGGAAGAATCCCATTTTTGTGGTAAATTAGAATCTCCTTGGATGGCATTGATATGTAATTCATCACCAATATCCGCTTGGATTACCACAATTCTATGAGATTCCTCTTCTCCTGGTTCAGTGGTTATGACATCAAATTGAGATCCAGAATCATATTCACTGTCAGTCTCTTCATATACTTCCACATTATTGATCTTTTTGCGGGGATTAGGGCACTCAGGTCTTTTGTGGCCCTTTTCTCCACAGTTATAACACTCAGGTATGCTAGCTTTTCTTGCGGGGGCTTCAGCTGCTGGAGCTTTTTCTTTGACATTGACAGGCTTGATGAATTCTCTTTTTTCAGGTATATTACTTCTGACATATTTTTTATTCAAGCCATTCATAATTACAACTTCCTCTAATACTCCTACAAACTCTGTTAGATCAACATCCATATCTTTTAGCCTACATCTGACTAAGTGTTCTATGGTTCCTTTGCATTGAGTTAATAACCTGTCATTTATTTCTTCTGCTGTGGGATTATTGTAAATGCATTCCATCCTTTTCTTTTGGAGTAAGCACCATTCTCCAACTGAATGCTTAACTGGGTCAAAATAGTCACTTTCAAAGGCTATTCTTTTAGCAGTCTTCCACACTCTAGTGCTAAATCTGGCAATAATTAATTCTTTCCAGGTGGCCCAACTTTGTAATCCTATAGATTGGCTTTTGGTAACAAACCAATCTCCTGCTATTCCTCTCATTATCCTAGGGAGCTTGGAGGTAATCATGTCATCCGGGGCCATGTAAGTTCTTAACAAATAATCTATATATTTAATGAAACTGATGTGGTCATATTCATCTTTCCCGTCAAATTCTGGCCAATCTTTTATGGGAGGCATATATTTATTTAAATTAGCCAGCTCAGCCGCAGTATAAGGTGTTGAATTTCTTATAAAATCTATTTCCTCATTTGATTTTCTTTGTATTCTCTGATCAGAATCAAGAGGATGAGGAGAGCCGCTTTTGAAAGGGGGAGTATTCGAATGCATGAAGGGATTATTGTATTTTGGTTCTTCAGATGGCGTGGGTAAGGGAAGCTCTTCTTTTTTGTTGTAAGGAAGATGGGGGGGTCCTTCTTTTCCTCTTACCATATTTTGAGGAGCCCCTTCTGGCAAGGTCTTACTTTTGTGATCGTAATGGGCATAGCACCCCTCAGAGGAATTGAGGTTTTCATATTGAATTTTAAACACTTTGAACTCACTTCTTATTAAATTCTGTTGTGTCGTAAATTCTTTACTCAAATCGTTAAATCTCTCTTCGCTGTGACGATGTTGTTGATTTAATAAATTCTTTATTTCATCCATTTGGCTATCTAATTTAGCTCGGTTGACTATGTCATCCTGTCTCAAGGAGGACAAGAGAAAGTCAGCGCTAGAATTGTGCAAAGCTGCTGAGTTTCTGGAAAACTGCGCTATCTCATTAGTGATCATTTTGTTATCTCTCGAGTGCTCTCTCAGACTTTCGACATCTTTTTGGATGACGGTGAGTAGATCACTATGTTTACCAGTCATCTCAATTGGTAGCGGACGTTCTAACAGTTTAATTATCTGATACACTTTAGAATCTAAGACCTCCTTGATTTTATTAACAGATGATTCAAGATTGGAAACGATAGAAGAGAAATTGAGCTCGCTATTCGAGTCTAGAGTAGAGAGATTAACATCAAGAGATTCTAAGGAGTCTAGAATGGCATGAGCTAATGTAGAGTTTAGTTGAGGTTCTGATACAACCCGTCGGCTATTTTTAATAGGTCCGCTACCTTCTTCCATTTGGCGGGGTCGGAGTAGTTGACCGTGTTCGAACTCTGCTTCTTTCCTTCGGCGGTCTTTTTGAATTTCATCAAAGACTTCTTGGGGGGAGCTGGGAAGTGGATTTTTTTCTCTTCCCAAGGGTTCCATCCCTTGACGTAGCTTTCGATCTTGGAATTGTCGATGAGTTTCTGAAGACTCTTCTGACTCTCCTGAGCAGCAGTCAGTAAGGCTCTGAGCCTTTCCGTCGGGCCTTCTCTGGATGTTACTAGGCATTGCTTCCAGAGCCCGACGTGCTCTTTCACCCGGAGTTTGATTTGGTCCTCCTTCGAGAGGACTCGAATCTCCGGTGTGGTGGCAGGAGCGCGCCTTGACCTAAGCTTTGGCCGGTTTGTTTGGGGCATGCGGAATGCTCGCGGCGCTGATGCGGAAAGCACGCGGAGCTGACGCTACATAAGCAGGCTGAGGAAAGCGGCGGTGCATTAGTGGAAAGTCTAGCTTTCCGAGGCGCGGGAAAGTGGAGAAAAGTAGACCGAATGCACAAGGTTCTGAAAAGCTTACTGCGGGGAATCCGGGCATCGGCGGGCGCCGGGGATCACGGCCGACTGTGGAATGGGGGTTCAGGGTATACTGCGGAGGGGCTACAAGGAGCGGGGAGCACCGAGGGGCGGAAGCGGGGTTCGGAGCGGACCAGAGGCGGAAGCGGCGGTGGGGGACCCGCTTACGAGCGGCCGGAGGAGTACCTGGACCGACAGGCGTCGGAGGGGTGACATGCGGAGTCCGAGGGGGTGACAGCGGATGACAGCGTGGGAGGTAGTAAGAGACTGGAGTGTGGGAAACTGAGGAGGAGTGGACTTCGAGGCAGAAGAGGAGGGAGAAGGGGGGGGGGCATGACTCAGAACATATCAGAAAACAGAGAGACTTAGGAGTGAATCGTGTATTAGCCTAAAGAATTGTTAGAGATAGATTAGAGTTAGAGTACTACCGACAAAAGAACAATAAAAGAGAGCTATTTTACCTACCTACAAGACCATCAAGCAAGTTACCCCGGACAACAAACCGGAGTAAGACGCGTTGCGGAGCGGAGAAGTACAAGAAATACCCTAGGGCGCGCCTTTCTTTCCACACCGGCGTGGTAGGGCATTTCTGGGTAGCTGCAGAGCATTCGGGGTCGAGCTCGTCGACGTCCATAGGTGTCTCTGTCTCCGTACTCTGACGAGGGCCTTCTGAGTTTGTTGTTGGAGTCTCGACCGCTCCCTTGCGAGTTATGGTCGACATCTGTAGGCTTTTTACCCTGCTTTCCAACTCCTTTGCTGCCGCGAGGTCGCGTTGGAGCTGGGAGGGGGCCTCGTAGTTCTGGTCGGTTAGATCTGGTTGACATGGTAAAGATAGGTAAGGCGGGTTAGTGGAATATTCCTTGGGTTTTTTTTCTGAAAAAAGTAAAGTAGAAGAATTCCTGTGGAACAGGTATTGGAGACTAACTTTCCGTATCTTTGTTAACCGTACCGTTGTCTGTATCAACGGAGGGAGTTGGGCTAGCTCTTTCCTGCCTGATAACGCCGGTCTCGAATGTAGACACTAGTAGAGGGATAAGGAGTAAAGCAGGTATTTAATTTTGATTCGCGAGAAAATTTAAAGAAAAGAAAAAAGAAGTAATCTGACTTTTTTCCAGATATCTTTTTCGATGAAGTTGTTGATTCTTCGCTCGGATTTCTCGAAGGAAGCAGCGAAACTTGATTTGTTCGTCTAAGTTTTCTTCCTCGTGGATATGAGCGTGATAAGTAGCTAGTAATAACTGTTCTTCCGACAAAAGTTGTTCCCAAGGAGTAGGAACGTAATTCCGATCGACTTCTTCTTTTCGTAACCTAAGGTGAAGAAGATAACGCTGGATTAATTCCGCGTTCTCTTGTAGGTTCACTAAAGGAATGAAACGGAATTTGTTTTTAGGAATTTTTGTTTCGAGGATGAGAGTTGGAGAGAGAAGGTAAAAAAAATGAGATATAATAATTTTTGTACGGGTTTGGTTTTTTCTCTGTAAGAATAAAAGAAATTGTATAGTTTTTTTTTTATATTGAGTTTTATTTTTCTGAAGTAATGAGAAAGGATGACCATGAAAAAATGGTAATTTTTATGGGTTTTGATTTAATTTTTATATAAAAAGAAATTAGGAATTAATCCCAGGTGGCTTATTTTATTAAAAAGGGTATTTTTAATAAAAAATTTCCCGGCCAGACCCCCAATTGTCAGCCTACGTGATGCCAAGATATAAAATCTTCTAGCTACACGTGGTGCAAAAGCAAGTAAAAACTTAAAGGTTTTTGGGTTTAATCTTAAAGGAATAAATTCCAATTAAAAGAAAGGAATTTATGGGAGTTTTTTAGGAAAAAGTGGCCAATTTATATTAATAAAAAATATAAATTAAACCTGAGGGGCCTGATAAATCAGGGGTGGTTAGATCCCTCAAAGGTATCGTGCAAAGAGCAGAGGATTTAGGTACCTGTTACACTGGGGCCTGTAAACAGGGGTGGTTTAAATCCCAGTAAGAAATAATAGGGAAAATCTCAAGAAAAGGGTTATTACTCACTAGTAATAATCCTGTAGGGTCTTGAGGATCTTCAGAGTAGAAACTGGGCAGTTGGAAGCGCTCAAAAGGGTGGAATTTGGGTGCTGGGTGATCACAGGGGAGTTTCTTGAGGGTTCTTGAGGCTTAATAACAGCAATTTATAGTAGTAACTAGGCTAATTACAAGTGTAGGGGACTTGTAAATGGTAAGTAAATTTCTATAAGGTATTGTAAAGCTGGGGGATCATTATTTGGGCGGTCAGAAGGCCCTTTAAATACCTGTGGCAGACCTCAGGGGTTGCTCAGGGGAGCTTAGTAGGACTTGGGAGCACTTTGTGGCCCATTTTAGCCCACATGGTGACGCAACAAGGGCTGAAACCTTGGGGATAATATTCTAGAAGTTCCCAGGGGTCATGCAAGAATTTATTTGAACTAAGAATATCCTTCAGGAACTTGTGGATAATTGCTATTCTGTTACGTGGAGTTATTTCCTTGGAAATGGGCCACAGAATATCCAAGAGGTGGTTTCTGGGGCTTGCTACATGTGTTACCACTTGGAATATAGAATGTTCTAGGTTACTGTAGTATTTTCATGCATATTCTAGTTTGTTTATATTTTTATTACACGTGTGGGGGCTTTGTTGTCACGTGTAATGAGGATTCTGGGGCGCTTGTGGCCCATTCCTTGGATACTGGTAACCCAGAGGGGGTTATGCATGTATCCAAGGCGGGTGGGCTTACCTATCACGCGCGGGGGCTTGAGCCATGGGCTCAATTGTAGTCAGGCGCGCCTGTCAACCGTGCGCAGCATGACTACGCGGCGCGCGGGCTTGGAGACAGTACAGTGGGTGGACTGAAATTTTTGGCGCCCATTTTATTTATTTTTAAGGGCCAAGATGGCTTTTTGAGGCTCCAAGTTTTTGGTCACAGGGGCTCTGGGGGCTCACAAGAATGATAGGATACTTCTTTTAATTACTCAACACACAAAAAGAAAGATAAAAATTATTTTGTTTTTTGACTATTTTCTATCTACAAAAGTAATCTTCTTAAAAATAAGGGAGCTGGAAGGGGGGATGGAGAGGAGTCTGGGAAGAATGATTATGAGAAAAAAACCTGAAAAATATTTTTTATTTTATTTTTTATATTTATTTTTATAATTTTTATTTTTATTCTTGCTTTTTTATAGGAATGAACTGAAAAATTACCATCTTACTGAACCCCCCTCAGCCTTGATAACCTCTGCCATCCTCTCTGGCATTGAATTGATTAGGTTTTCGAGGATGTGGCTTGGGAAGTCGGCCCAAGCCTGAGTGAGAGCCTCGTGCATTTCGGGGACCGATCGCGGATGATACAAATCTTGAACATTGCGCTTGAGGACAAGCCAGACGTTCTCGATTGGGTTTAAGTCGGGGGATTGAGCCGGCCAGTCGATCTTGTTGATGTTGTAAGAGTCCAGGAATTCGCGGCTGACACGGGCAGTATGGACAGGGGCGTTGTCCTCCATCAAGCTGATGCGTTGGTCGGGGTCGGCATCCTCGAGGAATGGGATGAGATGCTTTTCGTAAATGTTTTTGACGAAGTTTTCGGCTTTTCGTTGGCCGGGAGGGATGATGGCAAGAGGGGCCTTGGTTTTGCTGAAAAAGGCCCCCCAGACCATGGTCGAGGTCCTGCCGCTCTTGAAGGTGGGTACGAGGTTCTTGGGGTCGTGTTTGTCACCCCGCTTGCGCCAAACGATGACCTGTTTCGAAGATTTTCCAATCTCAAACGACGACTCGTCCGTCCAGAGGACCATTCGCCAGTCGTCTGGAGTCCAGTCTTTGTGTTGCTTCGCAAATTGAAGTCGGCATCTGCGGTGGGTCTCGTTCAGGAACGGCTTCCTCACCGCAACCCGGTTATTGAAGCCCATGTCGTGGGCTCGGCGGCGGGCGGTTTTGGTTGAAATCGGCGTGGTCAGGATGTCTTTGACCTCGGCCATCTTTCATTCGGGGGTTGTCGTTGAGGACCTTCTCCAGCTCCCGAAGGTCCCGGTCATTGGTCATGCGCGGTCGTCCGCTTCTGGGGGCTGTCACAACAGTACCGCGCTCGGCCGATCGAGTGATGATTGCCGAGATTGTTGTGCGGCCGATCCCAAGCTGAGATCCAATGGCCGTCGGCGTCATCCCAGCGTCCGACATGCCAACGATTTTGGCCTTCTGCTCCGTTGAGAGATGGCGCTTGGCATTTCGGTTTTGAACCATCTAAAAAAACACAACAAAATAGAAAAAAAAAGTTAGTTTTGATTTGTTTGAGAATGAAATGGGGCTTACTATGATCAGGAAGACTCCTCTTTTGGTTCCGAGGCTGCAAGAAGGTGGCGAAGTGTTGTGTTGTGTGATTTGATTTGATGATTGGAGTGGTCGACCTGGTTGATCACTCCAATCACCCCAAGTGTGACAAGTCAGTGCACCCCAGGTTCACCTGGGATGTCACTGATTTTTTACCCCCATTACCCCGCGCCAAAAATTACAGTCCACCCACTGTACACGCCACGCAGCTCTATCTTCCAAACTATACACAACACTCCAAATCTGAGACAAGATTTGGAGTATATGCATATTGTTATGTATAATGCATAATTATTCAGGTGCCCGTGATCTATGGGTACCTGTTAATTCTTTAAGTGGGTATTACAGGATGAAGGAGTTACAATTAGGGGTACCTTTGGCTGAGGTACCCTAGGTTAAATTGTACGTAGATTCAGAATCTGTAATAATAATTAAAGTTTTCTCTAATCTTTCTCTGTTATTTATATATTTTTAAGTGATTTTTATGTTATTTACATAAGTAAATTAGTTTCTTTTACTTATGTAATATTTTACTTTATTCTTAGATTTTTTATGTGTTTTTTATTTTATTTTGCTATGACAGGTTGTCTCTGCCATAGTAGCAAGCTGACATATGAATTCAGTTATGTTGAAATTGAATAGGGTGTTCCAATGTAGTATCTTTCATGATAGACACAATATCATCTTAGGTAGATACAATCTCAATTCTGGTAGATACAATCCCAGTTTTTCCTGATGTAATATCAGATATTTTCATCTGACATAATGCCAGATGTATCAATCTGATACAATCATTTTGGCAGTGACCCCATTTGGGGCTCATTGATGCAAAAAAATAATTTTGGAAAAGTGACTGGTTTCTAATGGTGGATTTCCTATATTTGATACCCCCTAATGGAAGGATTTTTTCTGCTTTGGAATGAACATGACATTCAACTGTATCAGAAGTGGGGGCAGTGCATGCCTTCAAGATTTACACAAAGTGGCTGGTAGAACTTCAATGGTAAATGTGGCAATGATTTCACCAAGAAAAACACAAACAAAGAAAATTTTCTGCAAGCAGTATCTCCATAATTTGTCTTGAAAAACAGGCTTCTGGTTAAATCTCTCTAATATGTTTTACAAACCATTAAAATTATTGAAAATGTGACAAATTATGATTGCTTTGATTAAATTAAATGAGCCTTTCTTTTCTGAATGATTGAGATTAAACTTTGGTCGCAGTTTTATCATTTGCTGTGTTTGCAGTTGCATCCTTGGCTGTGTTTGCAGTTGCATCTTTTGCTTTGACTGCAGTTTCTCCAGCATCTTTTTTAGTCTGCGCAGCTGCGTTGGCATCTTTAGTAGCAGACGCAGACCCCGCAGCTGCGTCCGTAGACGCACCCGCGGTTG